CTTCCTTCCTTCCTTCCTTCCTTCCTTCCTTCCTTCCTTCCTTCCTTTCTCCCTTTCTATATGTCTATATTCATTCATTTATTCATGCATTCATTCATTCATTCATTCATTCATTTATCTGTGAACAAGTTGTCTCCCCCTAGTGGAATGTAAAATCCTTAAATATAAGAGATTTCCCTTTCCCCTCCCCCCTCCCCATATATATCAGACTGGAGCATACAACAAAAGCTATATTTGGTACATAGAGGAGCTCAATAAATGCTTGTTGATTTACTGGTTTTTCCTATGGGGGGGGCTATCCAAAGGAAGTTGGAAGGTGGTGATGGAAAGAGTACTGAATTTAGAGTCTGAGGAGTTGGGTTTGAATCCCTACTGTGCCACTTTCCTATCAATGTGACCTAGAAAGGATAGCTGACACAGTGGATGACAGAGTCAAGATCCAAAGATATATTGACAGGAATAACGTGATATTCAAAAGGGGTCAGTGTAAAGTTTTATACTTGAATTTTACAAGTACAGGATGGAGGAAATAATCCAAAAGCTATTGTCAGAAAAAAAAATGGGGTTTTAATGGACTCTAGGATCAATATAAAGTAGTAGTAAAGTGGTAGCCAAAAAGCTAATGCAGTCCTTGGCTGCACTGAGAGGAGTGTAGCAGAGGCTAAACTGGCCTATAGTGGCCTTCCCATGGGGTGTGCCCCAAATTGCTTTTCTTGGTTCCAGTTGACCACATGGGGACTTTGGGACCTGCTTCCAGCTCGGTGGTAATCCATCACTGAAGTTACTTTGCTTTCTGGTATAATGTGATAAATCTTGAGTGTCTCTTTTCTCCTTTTGTGTTTATTGCTTTGTTAGGTGAAAGGGTATTTATTTTAAGATGGACATGTCCAAGCTTGAAGGTAACTACATGAATCTGAAAGGTTCAGAGGTCCTGGACACCATCAGGTTGTGGGCAAATGAATGTAGGGAAGAAGTCCCCAGTAACTAAGTCCTTGGGAAGGACCACCACCACCAGGAAGAGAATTGGCCCAAGCCTAGTAGCTTTTGCTAACAGATGTGTACAATGGAGAGCCAAGGTGAAATGTACAATGCCTAATTAACAGTCCTATAAGTTGCTTTGTGTTCTGATGAGATGTAAGTATCAGTGTCCCAGAAGATTAAAACAGTAGTTACAAGTTGTTATTGAATTTTGTTTTTAATCATTCTATTAATATGTGTTATGAGTCTTTTATACTTAGTTTTTCTTTTGTGTAGGAATGAATTACCTGTTCCAAAGCTGATTCTTGTTGTTTATTCAGTACATTTTTACTCTCTCCCTTTTTTGGGGGAAACCCTAGATGTAAGCCATAAACTAATCATTAGTAAAATCATCCCTGGAGTGCCATGGTGGTCATTTAACAAGCTGAAGAGTTTGAGAAAAGAGAACTGATCCCTCTTACTACTCAGGCTCCGTAGGACTGAACCTGGAAGAAATTACATGCCTGGGCACAGAACAAGCAAAGAACATAAGACTTTTTTCTGTTCAATTCCAAAGGGCAAAACTAGCAGCAGAGGATGTGGGGGGTGGTGTTCAGTGAGGCAGATTTGGGCATGGTATCAACAAAAACTTCCTGACCATTAGAACTACCCAAAACTGAATGACCTCTCATGGGAGAAAATGAGTCCTCCATTACTAAAGCATCCAGCAAAAAACTAGATAGCCATTGTTGGGTATGTTATGGTGGGCATTCCTTCTGGCTATGGTCTAGACTAGGTGGTCACTGAGGTCCTTCCATCTCTAAAATTTTGTGATTTTATGAGTTGATTTCATTCTCTATGCTTCAGTTTCTTCTTCTGTAAAACGAAGGAATATGACTAAATGACCTCTGAGAGTTCTTCCACTTCTACATCTAGGATTATATCAGTACTTATCATGGTACAGGATGACTAGATGACTCTTAGGGTCTTATGGCATATTACATTTGGTTAAATGAACTGGGTCTGCTTAGCCTGGAGAAAAGAAGGTTCCGGTGGGAAATGGTAGCTGTCTTCAGGTATTTGAAATGCTGGCATGTGAAGGAGGGATCAGATTTGTTCTGTTTGGCGCAAGAGGGCAGAACCAGGAACAATGGGTGGAAAATGCAGAGGCAAATTTAGGCTTGATGTCAGGAAAAGCTTCCTAACAAGAAGAGTTGTCCAAAAGTAGAAGGGCCGCCCCAAGGGGTGGTGGGCTTCCCTTCCTTCGTGGTCTTTCAGGCAGAGGCTGGATGACCACTTGATGAGTACATTCTAGGGGGGAATTCATTCTAGGTATGAGTTAGATTAGAGAGCCTAGAGGTCTCTTCTAATCCTCATATTCTATGATTCCGTGATTGAGTTTCTATAGCTCTAACTTTAATTTCCACTGTGGATGGGAATATCATCAACCTTTAGTGGGGACTAGGCATGGAGCTTAGGGGATGAAACATTGTTGTCATTAGTGGCATGAATTAAAGTGGAAAGTGGCTAATGGGAATAAGTGTATCTACTTCCAGAAAGTTCCTTCCCCTAAGTATTTATGTATAGACAGAAGTGCTCATCACTCATGGAAAATGCTCATCTAAGGGTCACAATAAGTCCCATGTTCCCAAGGAAAGAGCAATAACTAGGAATTGTCATTTTTCAGGCATATTCTCTACCTATATAATTGTTTTCAATATTATTTCTGGATATGTAGTAATAAGATAGCTGCAGGCAAGTAGTGATAGGAATTACAGTGTGAGGTTGGAGGTGGGAAGAAACAGCAGCAAGAAGGAATGAAGACAGACATCATGAAGATAGTTCAGCCCAGCACTTTTCAGAAATACCACAATTTCTTCTAGTGCTAACATTCTCTTGGCAGCTAGGTGGCACAGTAGGTAGAGTGCTAGACAGACAGTCAGGAAGACTCATCTTGCCAAGCTCCAATGTGGCCTCAGACACTCCCTAACTGTGTGACCCTGGGCAAGTCAATTACTCTGTTTGCCATAGTTTCCTCACCTATAAAATGAGCTGGAGAAAGAAATGGCAAACCATTCCAGTAGCATTGCCAAGAAAACCCCAAATGGGGTCACGAAGAGTCAGACACAACAGAAATTGACTAAACAACTACAGTTAACGGTTCTCAGAGAAATATCTAAAGTATTAGCATTAGAAGGATTTTTAATGCTCATCTAGTCCAAGCTACTCATTTTACAAATGAGTAAAAGTGCTCAGGGGCAAGTGACTTGCTCAAGGTTTCACAGCTAGTTAGTGACAAAATCAAGGCTAAAAACTAGGTCTCCAATTTCCATTTTAGTGGTCTTTTCATGCATTAACCTGCCTCCCTGTTGACCCATTTTTTTGCATGTTTATCATTGCTACCTCTCTTTCAACCTACCCTTTCTATCTAGCCTTCATATTTAATCTTAACCTGAACCTGGAGACCTTGTTATATATGCTTGATCCCATATCTAACATTTTCTAGGTGTGTTACTATAGAGAGGTTACAACCTCTTGAAGTCTCAGTTTCCTTATCTGTAAAATGGGGACAAAAATACTTGATACCTATCTCTCAGACTTGTTTGAAGGAAAGAGCTATGTAAACTTCAAATATAAACTATAGAAAGGCACACCATTATATCTACTAATATAGTTTTTAGTACCTCATTGCTTTTCTCTCTTTACCAAGTCTATTTACATAGATATAACATTTCTTTTAACCTTCCTGTCTTTGGCTTTTATTATACTTTGTTTCTCATGTTTTCATTTTTCATCCTATCTTAGTTGAATAGCTACTCAGAAGAAAAAATACAGAGTCCTAGAATGTTGGGGCTCGAAAGGACCTTAGATAACACCTACTTGACCATACCCCTCTTCCTCCCTGCATAGTCCCTTCACTTTATAGATGAGAAATTCAGGATCTAGAGTTGAAGTGACTTTCCTAAAGTCACACAGCTAATAAATGGCATGGGGAGGATTTGAACCAAGGTCTTTTACTATAAGAGTAGTGCTCTTTCTATTGTCCCATAATGTAATGTAGAAATAAGAAGGAACCAATGACTGTGATCAATTTAAGCACATTGTCAAAATATATTCTATCAGAAAGATGAACAAAAAATGTTGCTATCTTGATATTGTAGAAAATGCAGTGGGAAAAGTAATGGGCTTGAAGTCAGAAGGGGTTTTCCACTTTCTACCTGCATGAACTTGAGCAAGTCACTCTCTGGGCCTCAGTTTCCTCACCTGCAAAATGAGGGGGTTGGACTAGATAACATCATGTGATCAATCCTATGAATACTATATATTTGAAATTAATACTGAAAATCTATTTTATAGGCAGAGAACATCCCTGAAAAATAAAAATTCACCTTAGTTACTGCTTTTTCCCTAGAAACATGGTGTTTATTGTAAGATCCTTGAAGGTCATTTTCCACAATGATCCTCTCTGTATTTCATGTCCAGCATTTTGTGAAGATCTCAAAACCTTTTAACTGCTTACACTCTTACACTACTGATTTTGAAACTGGAATGGAGAAATATTACTAACCCCACCATAGCCAAACCAGCAGCAAGGTTTGAATTTTCATAATTGCTGTGGAGGTGTAATTGTGGGTATCATTCAACACAACTTCACCGTGGTGGGGCAGGCAAACTATCACTTTATATCAGTGTGTAAAACACAAAGCTTTTAAAATTGCTGTCAAATAGCCACATTCTTAAGTAAGTAAGACTATGTATTTTCTACAGTGTTCTCAGAAATGTCTTCCTATTGAGAGTTTCCTATAGAAGAAACAAAAAAGTCAGGAACTGAAGGAACAAATAATATTAGAACATTGTCCTAATCCACTGGACCAAACATGAGCTCATTATGTGGACTGTACAGATAAAAGGAGAAGATAGATGTGAACTAAAGTGATGTAGTTCAGGGTACTAAAGATGCATAATTCCACTGACTACGCTCTTTACCTTTGCCATGGATGCGTCTCTTCTGACTTCGTAAGGTGTTCATGTGCTACATTTTAGGCAACTTTATCTAATCACTGGAGGTAAATCAGTCACTCAGAAGGAAGGTTTACTATTTTGAGAGCTGAGCTATTTTGAAAACAGAAAGTTTGACACCAAAGGGAATGTTCATTTCCTTAATCCTTACATGTGACTGATATTTGAAGTGCCTAATCTGTGGGCGAGTGTAAGAAGAAAGTATTCTAAACAGCTAAGACTCCGGACACATCACAGATTGGTGAGGTCACACATAAACTTCCAAGGTACAGGAAATGTTGGGGATAGTTGACAGCTACTTTCTTGACTCAGATGATTCCAAACTGGGCCAGCTCATGTAATTCCAGGTGGCTGAAGGCTTCCCAGGGACAAATGACCGTGATATCTATAAAAGAGGAGAAAAGCATATAAACCCATTCTTTTCCACAGACTTAGAAGCTTGTGTGCCCTTTTTCAGGGAAGGTCTTTCTTTCTTTTTTTTTTTTTTTTGGTAAGGCATTTGGGGTTAAGTGACTTGCCCAAGGTCACACAGCTAGTACGTGTCAAGTGTTTGGTCTGAGGCTGGATTTGAATTCAGGTCCTCCTGACTTCAGGGCCAGTGCTCTATCCACTGCGCCACCTAGCTGCCCCCGAAGGTCTTTCAAATAGAGAGATATCTCCATATTCTCACCTGGTCTTTTACCCCAGACATTTAGTTTAGCCAGAATGGCATCCTAGTCCCCAAAAACATTTGAGAGGAAACTGAGGTTCAGAGAAGCTAATTGACTTGTACACTTTCTTATTGACAAAGATCAAGTGAGGAGCCCAGGTCTCCCTCCAGGTCCAACCCTCTTTCTATTGTTTCCTATTTCTATAAACTCAGTAGACAGCTAGATGGTGCAGTAATTAGAGTGCTGGACCTGGAATCAGGAAGGCTTCTATTCATACCTGGCCTCAGACATTTATTGGTTGTGGGAACTTGGACAAGTTATTTTAACTCTGTCTGCTTCAGTTTCCTCATCTGTAAAATGGGGACAATAATAGCACTTATTTCACAAGGATGTCATGAGAATCAAACAAGATAACCCATGTAAAGCTCTTTGAAAATCTTAAAGTGATACATAAATATTATTAATATTAGTATCATTATTACTATTTCTTAGAAAAATGCATGTTTGGGGAATCAGAAATGGGGTAGTGCTGTTGGCCTGATCATGTGTGGTGTTATCCCCATTTTTCCAGTGAGGAAATTTATATATAACTAGTTAATCAGAACTAGGATTTATTACTATAATTATTATTATTATTATTATTATTAAATAATTAAATATTTAATAATTAACATTTAGGAATCACTTTAAGGTTTGCAAAGTACCTCCTATATTAACTCGTTTGATTTACCATTGATTTGGATGTATGTGTCCTGATTCAAAGTGCAATCTGATACATGATGCTGACTCAGATAAGCAGCTGATTGCAAAATGCGAATACATGCATGCTTGCTCTTATAAATACAACAGTTCTTATCAATACCTATTAAACAGTTAATAGGAGAAAAAAATTCCTTATATTCATTTTAAGCTTCTAGCTGTTTTCATTTAGGCCTAGTTTAAAAGTATCTGTCTTCTTGAGAGTATAAGAATTGATAGCTCTCAAATTTAAGGATCTCATGTGAAAACGTCTCATTAGACCCACCTGTTCCAAGGCCCTCCATGCCTGGGATGTCATCTCCAAACCTAAGAAGTTAGAAAGAAAAGAAAGGGTGGGGGAGGGATTAGCCGAGATCAGATGAAGAAGATACTTGGATTGATTCATTTAGGAATTCTCTTGACTGAAGGGAAGAGAAATAGAGAGGACAGGTTTGTTCCTTTTTTTTTGTCCTCTCACATCTATATACAGTAGATCTTTTGATTTGTACAGCGTTCACAGCATCTCCTGGATAAAGAACAAGAAAAGGCAGCTCAAATAAGTATTAGCCAATGTGTGCCACTGGAAGAGATGTTGAAACTGAAATATCACTTGAAACATTTATGAGCTATCAAAGGAAGTTGTGCTCTCATTGTTCCTCAGTAAGAGACAAAGCTTTGCTCCTTTAAAAAAGAGAGACATACATTTAGCCAATTAAAAATTGGGACAGCTATGGCCAGGAGATGAAGAGCATACAAAGTGAGCTTATGAGAAGGATGCCCTAGGAGTGGAGACGAAATGGGCATTGTGGTTTGAGACCTTCAGGCAAAGCTTGAAATGAAAGTAGAGGAGGAGAGAAAAATGGAGGGACCGAGGATGAAAAAAAAAAGAAATTCCTAAGTATGGTCTGAATATTTAGTGACTATTCACTGATTGTTTGGTGAAATAAATTTTCAAACCAAGGCGATTTAGGACCGATGACCATGAGATGTGGTGGCATATTTTTCTCCAATTTGGAGGCAGGAACTCTTACCCTTTCACACCTTTCTTAGGAGGCTTGCTCTTGAATTGTCGAGTTTGCCTCTGCTTGAATTTAGGGGGTGCCTTGCGTGGACTGGTGGGACCCTGGCCTGAAGATGGAGGGGCCAATGTGCTGTTGTCACTCATTTTCAAGTTCCTGGAGGTAGATAATGCTTCCCTCTCAAATGCCTTAACCTACAAGATAATCACAGACAATAAAGTAAGTTAAAAATTCAAAGAGATTTCTTAAAGCTTCATATGCCATTATTAAGAACAAGGGATGAAAATACTTTTGGGTTTTGACTGGAAGTTAGAAGAAGTTAATACATTTTCAATAAGAAGAAACTTTAGATTTATGTGGTAATAGAGTAATAGTAGAATAAGAAACAAAATCTTGTAGTAGAGGAAATTCAGTAGGGTAGAGATGGTAGACTAAAAATACAGGTATTTGGAAATGTAGGAAGCTAAGAAATCTGACTCATCTTAATGAATTGTTCTAACCACCTATGACCATAATTTAACTCTGAAATCAGCTCTCTGAGAGTGTTGTTCTAGGAAGGAAGGAAACAAGTATTTATTAAATGTCTTCTACATTCCAGGTAGTGTGCTTTACAAATATTATCTCCATTGATCCTCATGACAACCCTAAGAAGTAGGTGCTATTAGTACCCTCATTTTAGAGTGGAGAAAACAAAGGCAAACAAAGGTTAAGTGACTTGCCCAGGATCACACATCTGCTAAGTGCCTGAGACCAGATTTGAACTTGGGTCTTCCTGGCTCCAGGCCAGGGACAGCTGTTGACCTCAGAGACTGACCACCATCAATCTATTACCCCTACAGGGACCCACATTCCAGCTGATTAGAGGATAAGCTTTTATTCCACCTATAGCCATACAAAAGGATTTTCAGTCCCACATCTCGGTATCTTCATTTCTTGTAAGTATATAAAAATAGCTAGGATGGCCTTCTCACAATTAAGAAAAGTAAATGTTGAAATGATCATTAAAAGAAAGGAAAATGGTATATAATGAGGTTGGTTGCTAGGATACAAGAACTCTGCTATTCTTGCTGCTCCCCGAGTTCCCCATCACTTAGTGCAACCAGCATTACCCTGATAAAAAAAGATTCTGAGCAGCCTTGATCCCCTCTTGTAGGAGTCAGGTAAATAAATCCTTTTTGTCTTCTTTCCCCCTTCAACTTCCTGACTAATTCTTCTTTCTCACTGCTTCTTTCACCTGGTTTGACCTATTTACACTAAGACACTTATGTATGTTTTTCCTTGCCTCTCTTTCAACCTTACTCAAAAAACCCTCTTCTAAACCTTCCTCTATGGCCCTTACCTTTGTTTTCTTTTTACCTTCTGAATCAAATTGGAAATCTTCATCTTTACCTTTAAAGTATTTGTCTTTTGTCTTCTATTTCCCTGGTTAATTATTTTTTCTCCAGCAACTTGTTATCTATTCCTCACGCTCTAATTTCTCTTTTGCCATTATCCAAACCTACCCTCTCTATGAAGGGAGGTCTCTGCTCCCCTCAGTTGTTTATGACCAATGCAACTACTTTATGTGCTTATATCTTATTTTTATTGTAGTTACTTAGGTATGTATTGTACCTCTCAAATATGCTGCAGCATACAAGGACTCTAATCCTTGCCACAGACCAGCTGCAGTGATGTGTATATAGTAGCAGCTTTAAAAATACTTCTTTAATTGAATTAAGTTCAAACTCAAACTCTAATTTTATAATTACATGCCTGCAGAAATCTCGGGATTGGAACCAACGTATAAGAAATCTGTTACTGAAATTGTGACAGTGGGAAACTTGGTATTCACTTCATCTTAGTATTTGTGATGGGGGAGAGGAAATTCAGTGAGGCAGCTGGTGGTGCTATGGATAGAATGCTGGGTGTGGAGTCAGTAAACCTTGGGTTCAAATATGGGCCTCAGACACTAACTAGCTGTGAGACTCTAGGCAAGTCATCTAACCTCTGTTTACTGTGATTCCCTCAACTGTAAAATGAGGATAAAAATGGCACCTACCTCCGAGGGTTATTGTGAGGGTCAAATGAGAAAATATTTGTGAAAAGCACTTAGCACAATGCATGGCTCATAATAGTTGGTATATAAATGCTTATTTCTTTCTCCTTCTCTTCCCTTCATGTACCTCACCCTAGGTATATCTGGAGGGTTCACAGGAAGGATGGGTAGGATCCCAAAAACCAGACCCACATACGGCCCACAGGCTACTTGCTGCGCACCAAAGGATTTTGGGGAGCCCAGGAAAAATGTAGAGGAAAACATCCTTTACATTTTTCACGGATCACCAGAAGTCCTATGACATGCCAGTGGGTCGTAAGCAGCCCGTGGGCAGAAGGTTGTACAGGCCTACCATAAACTAAAGGTCTAGGGAGGTTAGCATTGAAAATTCTAAAGATGAAATTTTTTTAAATAAAAGTTTATTGCTGTCCTTTATTTTTACATTATCCATACTTCCCATTGTCCCCATTCCCTCCCAGAAAGATATTTGTTACAATAAAGTAGAAATAAAGGAAGGAAAAGAAAATATACAAAGTATATACAAATATACAAAAATCTACAAATATAAAACAATATATTAAAAAAGTCTGAAGTTTCCTACAACAATGCCTGCCCTTCCCCCCAACCACTTCTGCAAAGGAGTGTAGAAAGGTGGCATCTCAAATTTAAGATGAAATTCTGAATAATGAAAGAAATGTTCCCAATGAGGAAGAAAAAGAAAAGATTTGTCAAAAGGGACTGGTGGATATACTCAGGGAATTCATCAACCAATTTGGGTTTTTTTTGTTTTTTTGTTTGAAACCATGTACAGAACATGGAAGCAAGGACAGTAATGGAGGATGAATTCATGAGTGAAACATGGATTCATCAGAAGAGACTCAGAGGTACCAGTGACCAGAAGGAGCTAATTTTTACATGGAAAGCAAAGGATACCTCCTCCTCCCCCCAAAATGGTGTTCTTTAGCTGTATTGAGATAAAGACATGTACTTGGAAGAAGAGTCATCCAGTGGAGGGGCTCCTGAACCACTCTACCTAGAAAGGAGAGGAAATAGTTCAAGCCAATGCTGAGGTCATCTACCTACAAAGAAGGGGAGTGTGTATACTATGCTCAGTTCCTAGATTAAACAGGAGATAGAGGTGAGTAGCAGCAAGAGACTGAACTGTGCCACGAAGTAGAACATCTGGACTTGGCCATTCATTTGTATCAGACCCACACATGAGTCATATTCTGATGTTCTCAGGGGGAAACTTAGATGATGCCATTAACTAAAGGGAGGTATTTATGAGACCCAAAATTGAATCCAGACTGAAACCCAGAACTGGAGTTCTAGGTCATAGATGCCAATAATTATCATAGATGTCAAGAATTATTATATGCACTTGATAAGGACATTGTACTTTTTCTTTTATAATGAACTTTTCTGTTTTGTTTTTGATTGGGCGATAGGGTTAAGTGATTTGCCCAGGGTCACACAGCTAATAAGTGTTATGTGTCTGAGGCCAGATTTGAACTCAGATCCTCCTGAATCCAGGGCCGGTGCTCTATCAACTGTGCCACCTACCTGCCCCTATAATGAACTTTTAATAAACATTTCAATACACAAAGAGAACTGAAAAGAGAATTGCATATGAAATATCAACTTCGGTTATATAGTTTTTCTTTAAAAAAAAGAACACTTTAAGTATATATTGAATTTGACAAGGTAGTAACACAATTTCTGTGTCTCTTTGTAAGCTATTTTTTGCCATATATATATATTTATATTTATATACATATAAATATATATATATATTTAATGTTTTACTGATGCTTTTTCCCCCTCTATCACTAACACACCCACCCACAATATATTTTCCGGGAGCTTTTTTCCTTTGCTAGTTCCTTTCAGCTAGATCTATTTTTTTTTCTGAAATTGGGTTAAGATCTCTACCTGGTCTGAGAAGGTATTTTACATTTTTAAGGCATTCCTCTATTTTTCTTGATGTGTGTTCTTGGTCTTATTAGCATATAACTATGCATAATATTGCATGTTATCTCATCCATTAGACTGTAAGCTCCTCCAGGTCACAGCTAGGCTTTTGCCTTCCTTTTGTAGCCCCCTGCTTAGTACAGTGCCTGGCACAAAGTAAATGCTTAATCAGTGCTTGATGATGATGATCTCGGTGTTCCCCCTAGCTGTTAGGGCTTCCTTTGTCTTCAAATTCATATACATATATATGTATATATGTATACATGTGTGTATGTATATATACACATATACATATATAAGTATACATATATACTCATATGTATGTGTATGTATGTGTGTGTGTGTATGTGCGTGTATATATATATATCTTTGCACTCTATACAGGGCAGAAACTGATCTTTGTATTCCTATCTTGCGAACTACCTTGCACAGGTGATGGGCTTAATAACTGTCATTTGAATTGTTGAGTAGCAAAGTAGGGATAGGACTGCTGCTCAGGATAAATGGGACAGTGATAAATGACAGTGGAAAGAAGAAGGAACTTACCTTTAGTTTGCTTTTTTTTTTTTTACTGGAAAAGACAAAGCAAAAATGACTAATAGAGAATTGAAACACATAGCAAGTGAAGGAACACCTAGCTTTCTTTGATGAGTTCAGATCACCACACCATGATGAGGTAGTATCCTAAAAGACCTGATAGTTGGGATATGTGATCTTGTGAGTGATTTTTCAAAGACTATAGAGAATAGCATCTAGATGGCACAGAGGATAGAGCACTGGGATTGGAGTCAGGAAGAATCATCTTCATGAGTTCAAATCCAGCCTCAGATACTTACTAGTTGTGTGACCCTGGACAAGTCACTTAATGCTATTTGCCTCAGTTTCCTCACCTGTATAAAATGAGCTGGAGAAAGAAATGGCAAACCACTCCAGTATCTTTGCCAAGAAAACCCCAAATAGGGTCGTGAAGAGTTGGACATGACTGAAAAACAACTGAACTGAAATGGAGAATGGCAGAGGTGCCATGGGCCTGGAGAAGGGCAAATACTGTCTGGATATTTAGGACAGAAACTACAAGCCAGTGTCTTGACTTTGATTCCTGGCAAAATTCTAGAATGTATTACTATTTTTTCAAGTCAACAAGTATTTATTAGGTACTTACTAT